CTCTCCCTCCCTCTCACTCACTCACTCTCTCCGTCCTGTCTCCTCTGCAGTCGGTCATGGTGGAGCGCATCGCCCGCATTGTCTCATTGGCCGTATCATTACGCTGTGCGCCGCTCGTGTCCAGTCTGGCTCGCTGGATATCGGTAAGACCGGGACACACACTGACACACTGTACTGACCATGAGTAGTACATATTTTACTACTCCTTCGTACTGACACTATACTGACACTGGAAGACGCGGATACACACTGACACACTGTACTGACACTGGACTGACATTGTACTGACATAGTACCGTACGATACCAAGAGTAGATAAACAAGAGTGTGCAACTCGGGGATGGGTTGGCCCTCGGCTGATTTTTTTGTTGACGTAATCTTTTCGACGACGCATGCGCTGCGAGTCTTTTGGAAAGTTTTCCCTTGTGCACTTGGCCGCATTTGCACTACACCGTCGGTGCCCAGCACGTGCTCTCACACTGCTCTGCGGCAAAATGCGCGTTTCTCTGAAAAAAGGTGACGTCAACAAAAAATTCCGCCGTGGGCGGGGGTATCTGCAGATTGTGCAGGAGAGATCCGAAGTTGCACACTCCTGTTTATCTACTCTTGATGACACTACTTATTCGTACCTTCTTTTTTCTTTTCACAGTATCTCTATTTTGAGACTTTATCTTGCCCGTAAAAGAGGCCGTTACCCCGAAAAAAAAAATGGTACCTTCGCCTTCAGTCGATGCTTTCCTGTTCTCATGAATTGTTTGTGCGTATCATGGTCAACGCAGACCTGGCTGGGCGTGTGACATTTCGGTTGTTTATTTATTTATTTCTGTGTCGATGGTGTGGCGACTTTGTTTCTGTCGGCATGCCTGCGTGTTGGTGCGTGCATGCATGTGTGTGTCCACGTGCATACACCCATGTCTGTTCCCACCATGCCGCCGCAGTGCTTCGATCGTCGTCTGTACAAAATCCCTGCCGCCCCTGCCGCAGCGGCCTCGAGTGCAAGCGGCACGTCCAGCAGCAGCAGCACAGCCGTCGCCACCGCAAACAGCAGTGCTGGCAGTAGCAGTAGCAGTGGTTGTGGTGGTGCCCGTCAGCACGTGTCCGTGTCTGGCGCCGTGGCGGACACGCTCGTCAACGACTTCTGCCTGCTGACGCAGCACGACATGGAGAAGCTCTCCTGTCTGCCAGAGCTGAGTCTGGACATGGCGGCTCTGTTCATTATGGAGTACCTGCAGCAACACCCGCTGCTGACGAAGGAAGACGACAGCGGCAGCAGTAGCAGTAGCGGCAGCAGCAGCAGCAAGAGAGGGAGTGGCGGGGGTGGTAGCAGGACTGGGAGCCGCAGCGGTAGCAGTGCCAGTTCTGGTGAGTGTGCTTGCAATCATGGGTGCAATGTTGCCACTTGCCACCTCCTACGGGACCGTCCGTAATAGTTATCGATCTTTTACACGACACGAAAAGTTCCATTTGTGGGTGGGAGTTTCATTTTGAAAAATATTTAATGTGTGAGACATCAATGCCTTCTAGCTGTCAAGTCAATCCATTTTTCATTCAGGGGGGGGGGGGGGGTTGGAGTGTCGTAACTGAACTTTTTCGTTTCGTGAAAATTATCGACACTGCCGGATGACCCCTAACGGCTGCAGTTTGCTATGTGTTTGAGTTTGGCACGTTGTCCAGAGTCCGTGAATTTATAGTGTTTCTAGAATATTCTGGAAATCTAGAAGCTGTGCTATGCGAATTGAGAACTGTCAACTGTTTCTTCAATTTCACTTGTAGATGCTTCAACAAAGCCCAAGTCGGAGGCCAAGGTTAACCTTCCACACCACAATCTAGTGGCGATGTTTTCATCCTGGCTGGTGAAATGGCCGTCACTGTCTCTGTGCAAGAGGCAAACTAACTTGCCCACTGGTGTTCCACTGAGTCGGGAATGGTCGGTACGGCCTCCAAGCTCATCATCCAAGACGTCGTCGTCGTCAGCAGTCCCAGCTAGAAAGCGCGATGATCCAAAGATTCTGGTGAGATTTTGTAATTACATTTGCTTCAATGTCTTGTGGCGCGCCAGGATGGGTGTCGACGCGCGCAGTCTGTATGTGTGTGCGTGCGTGTGTGTGTGTGTGTGTGTGTGTGTGTGTGTGTGTGTGTGTGTGTGTGTGGATATGTGTAAACTTAACATAGTATGTGTGTTACCTGTTGGTGGGAGAGTAGTACGGGTGCAGGCTGGCTGAATGGTATGATGTATGGTATGTGCTGTGTGCCGTGTGATGTGCGTTGTGTGTTGTGTGTTGTGTGATGTGTGTTGTTCGATGTGTGTTGTTCGATGTGTGTTGTGTGATATGTGATGTGTGCTGTGCAGTGTGTGTTGTGTGATGTGTGCTGTGTGCCGTCACTGCTATGTGTCGTCACTGCTGTGTAACGTCACTGCCGTGTGCCGTCACTGCCGTGTGCCGTCACTGCTATGTGCCGTCACTGCCGTGTGTAACGGTATGTTGTCTGTGCCTGTCTG